ACTGAACTACCACGAAATAAACAAATCGATAAAAAAGTTAAAGACGGACAGATTCTGCCGCTGTAGGAGTTAATCAATGGCTTCAATTTGTCCGAAAGGGCTCGCCGGATTTTCTACCTATTTGAGTTTTGGAAAATGGAAGGCGGGATCTTCTGCTTCTTCTCTTGACGAACTTTCCAGTCGGTTTAGGGTTTATCCAATTGGAGCCGCTCGCCGGATGAGCACGGCGGTCGACACCGTGATTTCAGATCCCACAGAACAAAAGATTGCATCTTTAGCATCCCCTTGGTTGATGCTGCCTCCCGTCTTCGAAGGCGGCACCAACGCCGCCCGAACCATGCGTTACAAGTTCTACAGCCTCTCGGAAGACAGAGTGGTGTCTACAGCCGCGAAAAAGGATTTCATGGGAGACGTGATGGATATTGTGGGCTCTTCTCACGGTTGGCTTTCCCTGCTCAACCCCAACACCCTAGACATGTTCCTCTACAACCCCATCTCCGGCTGCCACGTAAAGCTTCCCCCAATTCCCAACCTGCCGGCTGCCTCCCGCTTCACCCCGATGTGTGTGGATAAGGTAATCCTATCATGCTCCCTGGATGACGATGAACAAAATTGCCGTGCCGTCATGACTTACAATTGCCCAGCTGCCATGGCCTACTGCTGCCCTGGGTCCAGCAAGGAGTGGACCTGTATTGTGGATAACAATGTGGATTTACGGTACAAGAATTGTGTATATTCCAAAGAACATCAACTCTTGTTTGCCCTCTCCTGGTCTTATGAGTTACTGTCTTGGGACCTTGGGGACCCTCTGTCCCCGAGTCTCGTTGACTGCCGGAAAATTGATTTTCCGGAGGAAAACAAGCTGTGGCGTCCCAAAGACCTGACGTGTGAGACCGTGGAGCATCTGGTGGCTGCTGGGAAGGATCTCCTATTGGTGACTCAGTATGTGCTGATGAGCGTGCTCCCTGACGGTTTGTATATTGACGCGAACAACGATCCCACAGGCTCTATCTACGAACAAGGCCTTCCATATGTGACTATTGATTTTGATGTTGAGAGATATGATCCTGCGAATGCGGGTGTTAAGTGTGTGGAGGATTCGTTTATGGGTGGGTGGGCTCTGTTTGTTGGGTACTACAGCGATGCAGTTGCTTTGCCAGTGGCCCATTACCCGGAGGTTCTCAAGCCTTGGTCCATTTACTTCACTGATGTTTTGGATCCATCAGAAGGCCGTGACGTTGGCATTTTCAATTATCAAAACAAGACGGTGTCGCCGTGCTACTATCCCTGTGATGCTCAGAGCTTGAAAAAGATTTCCCCGGCACCTATGTGGTACTTCCCAAGTCACGGATGATGGATTCTTATGTTTTCCTAGTAATTTATCTACACCTAATTTCAGTTGGGTTTTCATTTTATACTTTTTGGTAGCATGGAACTCATTCCTTTTCTAGTTCTAGCTGGTGTTTATCTAAAATCAATAATTTATGTTGTCAGGTTTGTGGTTCAATATGTAGTAGTGGGAGAATGGCTAGTAAATGGTTAATAGAAAGATTGTACTTTTGAATAGTTTCATCACAGTTTTGCTGATGTCCATTTTGTTCACGGTTTGTTTGATGAAGCAAAAAGTGAAATAAGAAAGTTTATTTCGTGTCTGAAAAATGAAAATTCCTGTGAAGGATACAAAAGTTGAACTATTTGAGTTTGTGTAACCATTTGAGTATTATGAACAAGCAGACTAACAAGAACCACTTGATAAACGAGAATCAAAAGTGATATTTCTGAAATCAGGGAATATATAATCCTTTAAACAAGTGGGAATTTTGTTGTGACCCAAGTTACGGAGCTCTTACATTTTCGAGGCATGCGTTGATTTCATTAAGCGATATTTTCTCGGGTTGAAGCTGGTAGGATTTGAGTTCTTGTGAGGGAAAAATCTCTGTCTTTCTGTTCGCTGCAAATTGATTATTGTTTTGAAAGCTCTGAAACAGATTAGATGTGGCTGCTAGTAGCTGAAAAGAAATTGAACTCATGTACTAGATTTTGTGTTTGTAGCTGTGGCCGCTGTGCGTGGTTTGGTTACATTGATTGACCTTTTTCTCAGCTTCCAGGACATGATAATGTAATTGATTTCTAGTTAATGGTTATGGGGTATGCTGTTACAGGAGATCTCTGTCAGCAGGAATATTGAGGGCATCAAGTTTTTCACTCAAATTGGTGACCTGCTGGTGCTCTATTAAAATTCATGGCTATTATCTCACAGAAAATTTAGTTTAATGTTCAACTTCTTGCGATCCACTTTGGAATTCTAGTATTACACTGGTTCTTGAGTTGTTGTTCTGGTGTGGCTAACATGATTTTGGTGTGTTTTCAATCGATATATATATGAAATTCACTATCCACAATTGTTGATCGATTTTACGAAATACGTTTTGCATATTTTTGTAATCAATTTCCAACATTCATTTATCCTCCTTCAGTTTGTTGTTTTCATTTTCTAGTTGGTCATGTCGATCACGCAAGTCATTAGATTTTCGCAGCAACCCGAAAATTAATTGCTTTGAACGAGTGCACATTGGACCATCAACCCACGAAAAGAAATCGCAACCCCCTCTCTAAAAAAATAAAAAATAAAAAATAAAAAAAAAAATTGTGAAAGTCAGCTTAAATTAGGGTTCATCAACAATGATTTATTTGAATCTTACCTTGTAATAAGTACATGAATTGAATCGCATTCCAGGGTTATCCGATGTCCAGGACGTGCGAATGACAGAAACGTGTCCACAATAACACTCCTTCAACCCGGCGTCATGCGAGATTTCAGACATTTTTGTGCAGGTTGGGAAAAAAAAAAACCAATGTTTCGAAGTCCGTAAACAACTTAGGGTTTACTGTGAAAAATTTTTGTAAGAAAAAGTAGTATATAAATTCACCGAAATTTGGAAAGGACGCTAATTTTTGTTAAAATTTCCCTCCGTTTACGTAAAATGTTAATTTGACCAAAAAGTAGAGAATCAACAAGTGCTGAAAGGCCTTCGGTTGTAAAACTTTATTTTTAGTATGAGATTACTTCTACTGTTTAAAAAANAAAATATAACAAACACAAAATATACAACCAACAACAACAACCCAACACTACACACAAATAAAATATAACAACACCATCCTCTCCACAGAAGAAACAAACCGAAGTGTGCCTCGACCTGACACCTAGAGACAGTCACCCTCTCAGATAGGACTTCGGCTCGAGCACTACTCTAGAAAACTCCAATGCCATGGCTAGCTGAAACCGAAGGTCGACCCCCGACCCTCCTCCTACCGTCATCCCCCTCAGTCCGACCAACCCAACCACCTGAAATCCACAAACTACCAACCGACCACCCAACAACTCGAAATCCACAAACCACCAACTGACCCCTCAACAACCATCAGCCCACGGCAACCAACCTTCCAGCCCAGACCACCAAACCAGAGGAGACGACCAAAGGAGGGGAGGGAGAGACATACCTCATCCCAGACCAGCTCCGAGGATACTAGTTGGAACCCGGCGGACGCCACTCGTCGAAATTCAGGGTATCCCAAACTCGCGACAAAGGCGACGTGAAAAGTTGGCGAAGGCCAACATCCGGTGGAGATTCGAGGCTCCAAGAGGGCTGAACAGTGCGTCCGACGGCGGACAACACCGGTCTTTACAAAGAGCTCTGCGGAGAGGAGGCGGCGACGGACGAATTGAGATCTGCGAGGATTTGGATGAGAGGGAATTGAGGAAAATGAAAACTTTCTCTATTATGTTTTTTGTGAACCAGACTCATATTTCAACTTAAAGAAAAAAAAAATTACCCTTCATTTATTTATCTTGGAGTCGGTCAATCAGATGGTACATAAACTTAAATCAGTTTTGCTATGAAGCCAACCCCCTATATACAACAAGTAAACCATACTATATTAATAAAATTATTAATATTTATTTAAGTAATCAGAGAGTATGATTTACTTATTGTATATAGAAGGTTAATTCTATTATAAAGTTAACTGTTAGTTTCATAGTAAAACTGAAGCTTAAATATATTCACACGCACACGCTGTAATTAATTTTCCTTCCTTTGGTAAATAAAAGACTAAATAAATATGCTTAAATATTTTCACAGCGTGACTCCCACATACATTTGTCCTGCCTCTGCTTGACCAGGTGCCAACATTTTCACCTTCCTTTTTACATTACATATCACACTTCCCTTTTAATTTATTCTTCTACATCATAAAAACCCCAAATAATTTAATGAAATTGTGCATATGCTAATGCTACAGAACTCTGCCTCTTTCTTACCTAGTTGGACTTTCTCTCTCTCTCTCTACTTTATCTATGGAAGGTGAATAGCTCTGCAAAACAGGTAAAATTGGGCAAAGACTTTTCAAGAACACTATCAAGGGCAAAATATCGAACAACAGGGACCGAAAAGAAAGTATCTTTCTTTTAATGTTTTTTCCCTATTGTGCTTTTTTGTCTATAGTTGATTCAAATTTTATCATTATTTTTTTTCTATAATTGTTTTCTTGTTTTCATTCCTTTCTGGGGTGAAAGTTGAAGTCTTTGATGTTTTAGGTCTGTCTATTGTTTGATTTTTTGTTCCAAAAATTTCGGTTTTTTCGTATGAGTTCTTTATCTTGATTGTGTTGCTCAGTTTGTTATTGTTTGGTTATAAAGATCTGATCTTGTTGAAAAATACTTGTGTTTTTACAGTTATAGAAAAGGAAATGAAAATGTGGAATTACACTTTAAATCTCAGAAACACAAGATGATTCCAAGTGTTAGAAACTGATTTATTGTGATCAGTGTATTTAATGTCATGGTGATTTGTAAGTCTGATATTTTGTTTATTAGAATAGAATTTTGGGAATTATTTTGGGTTAAATTTCTGTAATAGCTTATGGTTTCCTAATTCCTAGATCACTAAATTGATTGTCCTGTTTCCTAGGATTTAGCTCTGTTGAAGTTTGTATGAATATTGGTTGAGAAGTATGTTAAACTGTTTGAAATTTCATCTGATCTATTCAGATCTGGTGTTTTTTTTTCCCCCCGACTGTTCCACCCTACATATCAGAAATTGAAAACCTAGCTTAATCATATCATTAATTTCCAGAGCACCTTTCTAGTTAGGCTGATGTAGTTCTTGTAATATGTTATTTTCCCACATTTGCTGTTGTTTTATTATTTGAAAAGTATTTAAAAATTATCTTAAAAGTCCATATAATTCATTAGACAAATTCCTGTAATCTGTTACTTCATAGAATGAATCTCTATCTTTGCCCCTATACTTCATTTAGATTTTTATCAAAGCGGATCGATTTTTCCATCTTTGCAGGTAAAAGCAACCGGACCGCTTAACACAGGCTGCCAAATCTCGTGATCCGGTGGTGAAATAAATTACAAAAATCCAATTACCTAAATCTTGCAAAGTCTTCCGAAAATCCCGTCAATATTTTTGTCGGCATCCTCCGTTTGGCGACCGCCTCATAAAAGACGATGATGTTTGAAGACACAGGATTCTCTACCGATTTTGACTTTTTATCCTCACCTCCCACAAAGGAGCCCGAACCCATGGACCCATTCAAGCCCGAGCCCGAGACTATAGCCGAGGACGAATTCACAGATGACGAGATAGACGTGGACGAGCTCGAGCGTAGAATGTGGCGCGACAAGATGCGGCTCAAACGACTCAAGGAGATGAGTAAAGGGACAATAAAGGAGGGCCCGGACTCGGCCCGCCAGCGTCAGTCCCAGGAGCAGGCCCGTCGAAAAAAGATGTCGCGGGCCCAAGACGGGATCCTCAAGTACATGCTGAAGATGATGGAGGTATGCAAGGCCCAGGGCTTCGTGTACGGTATCATCCCCGAGAAGGGCAAGCCCGTGAGCGGGGCCTCCGACAACCTCCGCGAGTGGTGGAAGGATCGAGTCCGCTTCGACCGCAACGGGCCCGCCGCCGTTGCCCGGTACCAGTCCGAGAACGGGCTCGGGGCCCGGGACGAGTCCTCCGGGCCCGCGGGCCCCACCCCCCACACGCTGCAGGAGCTCCAGGACACGACCCTCGGCTCCCTCCTCTCGGCCCTCATGCAGCACTGCGACCCACCTCAGAGGCGTTTCCCTCTCGAGAAGGGAGTGTCCCCTCCGTGGTGGCCCACGGGCCGCGAGGAGTGGTGGGCCCAGCTGGGCCTGCCGGCGGGCCAGCAGGTCCCGCCGCCTTACAAGAAGCCGCACGACTTGAAGAAGGCTTTCAAGGTTGGTGTGCTGACGGCCGTGATCAAGCACATGTCGCCAGATATTGATAAGATCCGGAAGCTCGTGAGGCAGTCCAAGTGCCTCCAGGACAAGATGACTGCCAAGGAGAGCGCCACCTGGCTTGCTGTCGTCGACCGTGAGGAGAGATTGGCACGTGAGCTCTACCCGGACAGGGTCCCGTCCCAGAACGAGTCGTTTATTTACGACAGCAGCGATTACGATGTTGAGATTGTCGTAAAAGATGAGGCTCCTGTCAGCAACAACAGCTTGGAGTTATCGAGGAAGAGAAAATCGGGCGTGGAGCAGATGAATGGGTGCGGGGTGTACACGTGCGTGTACACACGGTGTCCGCATGGGGATATTCGTCATGGGTTTCATGACCGAGCCACGAGGGATAATCATCAGCTCTCGTGCCCATGTGGTCCGGCAAACGATTTCGGTCCTGTGAATTTCAACGTTGACGAGGTCAAGCCAATCGTATTCCCTCAAACTCTTGTCCAGCCGCCGTTCAACCTGTCGGGAGTCGGGGTTACTGAGGACGGGCAAAGGATGATAACGGAGCTTATGTCCGTGTATGATGGAAATTTTCAACCAAACAGACACGGACCAGTTACGAACGAGCAGCCTCTTAGTCAAAGTCAACTCAATGTCGCGGGCGGGGGCCGAGGGTTAGTTTTCGAGGGTAATAGTTTATTTGAGGACAATAGTAACATGGCTACTAGTGCTTCAATGTTTACAACAGGGGCAGGTGATGGGTTTGATCAGTGCAGGATCATGAGTTCTCCATTTACCGTCAACATTACGGATAATTTCCAGATGATGTTTGGATCGCCGCTCAATATGTCCTCTTTCGACTATGCGGATGGGTTTTCTGAGATCAAGAATGGTAATGCGTCGAAACAGGACGTGAATTGGTACTAATTGCTTCTCGTGGCGTGGGAGTTGTCATCTGATAAGTGGTTCGTGGGATTGAGAGAATGGGCAAGATTTCATGTGAATTGGTGTGGTCCTTGCCGACTCTGAAGGTTTAAGGTAATTTTAATGTTGTGTTCCCATTACTACTACTGTTATTAGCATGTAGAGTCTGTGTAAGAGTAAGAGGTTGAACGATGGACTTGTGCTTGTAATGATCAAGTGAGGGGTGTAACTATATAGCCAATCCTCCACCACCTGTGGTGTGTTAGAATTAACTTATTATTATATATAGATGTTTAATAAATAAGGTTTAGTTTGATAAGTTTTATGTTAATTTACTTTTCTTTTCAACTATTATGTGATTGATGTCTGAATTATGGTGTTGTAATGTGCTTTTGCTGCATTTTGTTGACCTTTTACAAGTGTTATTGGTTAATTTTTTTTCCCTTTTTTGTATGTTGACACTAATCTCATTTATCTTCTAGTATTGTTGAATTATACGGGAGTTTGGATGGTTACACATAGGGGTGTTAAAATATTGAAAAACCGCACAAATTTCGGTGCGGTTCGGATTTTTGTCCGAATGATGCGATTTTAATCGAACTGCACTGAATATTCTTTT